ATAGGCAGCAGCTAGCCTGTGGGTTTAACCTCCATGCGTAGGTACCCACGAACGTCGCTGGATCATCCGTGGCGAAACTAATATCAACCATCAAGTAAGATTTAGTTCGGCTCAGATTACCCAGTATGCAACGGATCCTCCAAGGGTAAACTGAAACCTTTTGACGTTTTGATGTTATTCTTGAGAATATTTCGTAATTACTCCACGTGATCTTCAAAACACTGGCTTGAATGAAGGTATGTTAACTGAACTCTGCCAGATCCATTTGTGGTTTTATCCACAGTTCAAGTGATTCAAAATGAGTTTGCTGAAGTTTTGCGGAACCTGATCATCATCATCCTATCTTCTGGTTAACCTAGATATTGTTATTAACCTCAATCGACATTGCGGGACGATTTGACCACCTGCAAAACAAGTCCATGACTTTGCTGTGATGTGCCTAGTCCGCGCGCATAAATTTCAGAACTACGGATGCCTACCGATGTAACGGTGAATACTCTTGATGAGGCATGTGATAAATCTATGGTTCGAAGTCGAAGTTCTGCTCTCGCATATAGTGGAATGTGAAGTTTATTACAAACGTTAGGGAACTGCCTTGCAGAATCCATTTACTGTTGTGTAATAATCAGTGGATGTCCAATAAATTTCAACAGCCTACGTGACAACGTTCAATTTTTAATGACATCGTGCACACGAGCTGTTTACTTTTTCTCTCTAACGACTTGTAAATGGTTGGTTGGTGTCTGTCATTAGAAGACTAAGGGCTTTCCTCCATTGATCGGTATCAAGTATTTATGAAGTCCGGTGAAAACCCATCCTATTTGCTTCAAGTATTGTTTGTTGCAATCCTTTCATTGAATCTGGCAATTGATGTTGTCTTTTGCCACCGTATCCAATTTTCCTTTCGGCTTTGACACTGTCCTGTGCGAGATATTTATAAGTTTGTGGCCACCATCTTTCCGTATTGTCTTAAGGGTTTTATAGTCCTTTCGAGGATGTCCTAAATATACATGTAGTTCTATTGCATCACATATGTTGCAGTGTGCCTCGATTCTCGTGAATATGGCCCGAATGCATGTTTGTTTGTGACAGTTAGGCTGGTCGCTATGGTACTTACAAATTTGTTTCATACGGTACACTTCAGTTTAGCAATCTAGTTGTGATGACTTCCGAGAATGCTTTTGTTGTATTGTTTCATTCTTACATCGTGGGCTTCAAATAGCCAAAGATATCACATTTTTGCTCACCCGCAGCAGTTCACCCATTTTGATGATGATAAGGGTGTCATCCATGTAGCTGGGATTCATGTTGAGCAGTACAATTTGTTCCAACTTCCGATTGGTGATATATGCTATGAAGCCTGAAAGAGACGACCCCGTTATTGCCCTTCGTGGTTGTTTGTAGTTTTCTCCGCTGAACTGAAAACACGTTGTCAGGCATTAATTGAGCATTTCACAGATATCTTTCTTCTCCAGCGATACGTCTGTAGATCGCGGTTACTCAATAAGTCCGAGACAGCTGTCTTGCTGGCGTCAAAGTCCATAGATGCGTGTATTGAATTCCCAACAGACGAAAACATTACATTATCTTCGTCCGTGTGTATGTTTCCCAGTTTCACTAGGTATTTCACTTTCCCCTCTAGATTTTTGGGAGATTGTACGCTGGTGTACATAAAAATCCATACTATTAGTCGAATATGAAATGTTTCCTTATGCATCTTGTGAAGTTCATTGAATTTGAGTATTGCCGAGTCACGAGCTCTTATTCCGCAATATGCTTCTTTTGTTGTCCTGTGAAGGTATGAGGATTCTTCGGGTTCTTGTTGGGTTTGTCTGTAAACATTTTACTTTTGTTATTCTCAAGACAGTGAAACACAGTTGTGCCATTGATGAGGGCTTTTGCTTTACTCTTGTAGTTGGGTTTGTTGATTATCACCGTTGGGCGTCCCTGTCATCTGGTGGAATTACGATATTCCCTTCTCTTTTCAACCTGTCTATGCCCTCTCTCTTTTGTTGCGCATGAATGTTCAAACGAGAGCCAATTTTTTGTTGATCACTCTCACTGAGTTCGGAGAATTTTGTTAAGGCTGCTTGGCTAATATGTTTCTCAAGGTCTGTGGGGTTTTTAAAATTAAAAATTAGAAACTGAAAATTTCCATGAAGAAAACTTTCCTTACTCTTGAATTTGGCATCTACAGCGATTATTTATCTATGTTCCAATGTGGTTATTTTCGTACTTCTGATTTCCAGTCAACGAAGCAGTTTTTTTTCGTTTTCTCCAGTGGATTTGACTGGTCGTTCTGTTGTTGTCTTGAGCTTCTGCATATGCCCAGGTTCCACTGATTTTACGCAGACTTCCATATACTAGCTGGCCATCGTCCCACATTTCTGCATGTGGTTGTGCGCAACTGCTGTGATGAGTCTGGCCATCAATTGGGACATTAGTCTTGCTAGTTTTCAAGATTGTGGTTGACTTATTGGGGGTCGACGGGGTACGCTACTTTGGAGGAAACAATTTTGCACGGATTCCCAGGGGAAGTGAGACTGTTTATGTTTGCCAATAGACCGAAGTATCTTTTGACGAACTGTTTTGAGCGTACAGTGCACGAAGCTTTTGGAAGCATATCAAATTTTGGTGGCTTGTGTGTGGTAATTGGTTGTTGTTAAGGTAGGTTTTATCCCGAGTTTGGGAATTTACCCGAAGGCGAATCTTGAATCAGTCTTGAATTAGTCATCAGTGCGATGTTGATTCGTTACATGGTGATTGTGACTGACCTACTAACAGGGTGCGGTGCGCTTTGGTCTACCGCTTCCCGGTTTGCTTTATCACCGTATCGATACAAGCATACTGAGACGAGGTATCCACCCAACCAGCCATTGAATATGTCATCACTTTTAGTGACGAAGCGGCTGCAACCAAAGGCCAAGTGCGGCTTACATATCAACGGCTGTCTGATCTACAGTTTGTTCACCCACCAGTCATCCATTTACCAAACCGCTGGTGAATTTTTAGACAAGCCGCTCTTCTCGGGCAACGGAGAAGTGTGTGTATGGGAAATATACGTACGAAAAACGGAAAACTCAACCACCAACGCCAAAATCTAGGGTAGTTTTAGAGTGTAAAAGATCTTTGGAATGAAGGGGAGCTTAGACTAAGTCAGTTTTAAAACTTCATCTCTGAGCAATTAGTCTTATGACGTCCGTTTGATGAGGTAGGTGACCAAATCGTTTAAATATGCTCTTGCTTTCGAATAGGCGTTTATACCACGTTATACCAGGCGATACTTTAACAACAAGATATTTGACAAAATTACCGTGAGGTAGTACACAATCGTTGTAGCTAGAGTACATAAAACTGCATAATGGTGTCTATCTTGCCATAGTGTGAAAACAAGCTGCGTCCGTGTGGATTGTTAAAGTTGTGGCAAGATATTTCGTATTCCCCGACGAACATCCATAACTATATAGATGGAGTTAGAAATGGAGGTAGTCGGATAGATAGATTGTTGGCAGATATAGACAAAGATAGATGGAGATATGTTGATAAAGAGATGGATAGTCTGATAAGTAGATGGGTTGACTGATAGATGAATAGATGCGCAGATGGATAGTTGGGTAATTATACAGACACGTAGTTCGATAGAGACATGTTTGTTTGATTTAATAGGTAATTAGTTTGACAGATCGATGGATGGGTAAACCTCACGATTATTTAATGTCTAACACCAACCTCTGGTCCTCAGTTTCTGCGTGGTGATTCTTATGTAACCCAATGACAACAGTGAATTCTTATAATTCTCACTTCTAAATATTTTCCTGTATCCTACATATGTACGGATATATATATATATATATAT